GACAGGTTATAATTCCAGGATAGGTTTCCATTTTCTCCAATCAATTTCAAACTTCCTTCTTATGTAACTGTTTTTACTATGGTTAACATAGTTCTGAACACGGAAATGGTCTTTGATGACATTGATAAGTGCATTGAGACTCAAAGATTTGTGAAGACATCTAGTCTTATATATATAGTGTTTGATAAGAATTAAAATCTCATTATCAACTGTACTCGCTCGTGGTGATAATATTCCAAAAAGTAACGATTCTTTGTTTATTAAAACAGGGATAAGAAGAATGTCACAAAGAGTTTCAAGTCTCTGCAGTAGTCCCTGCACTTCTTGACATTCCCATAAACAATGAACTATAGTTTCTCTTTCCATATTACACAGATTACATAATGGACTAGGATTTAAATTTGTTTTGAAAAGAAAAGTGTTTGTTACTAGAATATGGTGTATAATTCTAACTTGAAACCACTGCAATTTTGAATTTTTTGTGACTGTAAATGGAATTTTAAGTATTTTCTGCCATTTATCAATATCAAAATCAAACTCCTCATTCCATTTCCTCACCCCAGTAGGTGTTGAAGCTGATGTAATCATGCTGTTATAGAAGTCTTTAGATCCTTTTTTATTCTTGAAGAATATTTCAAAAAGAAGAGGTATAAAAGGTTGGAATGGTCTTTCTATCTGAAAATCATATTTCCTAAGGAAACGCTTGGCTGATGAGACATCAAGACGGTGTAAAAGCTTTAGATAAAAGGAGTGGTCCGAAATAATACATTTTAATTTTTGAAATACTTTTTCAGAAACATATGTTTTGATTTACTGGGTAAGTTTATATAGTTACGAATTCTTCCAGGGCTTTCCACACAATAAGGTCAGTGAAATCAGTCATGATAAATTTTGTCGATATTTGAAACTGCGGAGAGCGTAGTACTCAATTCTGCAAGGAGTCAGCCAAGCGTGTGCTCTCCGCGTGGTGCTTTCTTGTAATGATCGATGACCTTGCATGGCAGCTTGACTCGGGGAAACTTCGGTCTTCACATCTTCTAGCTGATGACACCGTAGTACAGGCTGAATCCCTGCAGTTGTTACAAAATGAATTGTATATCGTTCACTAGTATTCTTGTTAATGAAGACTTACGTACAACTCCTGTACAGCTCTCTGGTGGCTTTCTCTGCCGGTCGTTCGAGTGTTAGATTTCCCTCAAGGAAGGTAACTATTGGAGATAGTGAAATGCAATGGACAACAATCAAAATATACGCTGGTGTAGGATTTACTCCAAACTGTCGAGGTGGTTAATCGTATGGTCAAGAACAAAAAACAGAAAACAATCAGTCTGTTTTAGCAATCTTATCGCGGGAACTCCTGGGCTCCTGGTAGATGATTTGGACTCTTATACTTTTTATTTTATTAATGACTACATAATGTTACATATTCACAACTTTTGGCTAAGAAAGATAATTTACACTTAACTGACATCAGACTTAGGAATACTGACAGATAGATGTCTGGCGGAGTCAAAAACGAGTTTCCACTGGCCCTGACACCAGGCCCCGTATTCATGAAACTGTTCTTATGCTCAAGCATGGTTTTTGTGTTCAAGGCAAATTTCTTGTTCCGTTTATAAATTAATAATAAAAACTTGAGTTGCCAATGATTGGTGAAATCTTTTAAGAATTCAAGGTCAAATACTGTTTTCAATGTTAACATTTGACTTTTTGATCTTTTGACATGATTTAAGTGAGTTACAAGAAAGTTAGTTTGAGCCCAAAATCCATACTTGAGCACGAGAACGGTTTCATGATACGGGCCCAGACTTAGACAAACCGGCAGATAGATGTCTGGCGGAGACAAACACGTGTATCATCTGGCCCTGACATCAGTCTTAGACAAACTGGCAGATAGATGTCTGGCGGAGTCGAGTCCGAGTTTCCTCTAACCCTGACATCATACTTAGACATTTTGTCAGGTAGATGTCTGGTGGAGTTTAGCCCTAGTTTCCCAAGGCCCTGACATCAGACTTAGACATTTTGACAGATAGATGTCTGGCGGAGTCGAGTCCGAGTTTCCTCTAACCCTGACATCATACTTAGACATTTTGTCAGGTAGATGTCTGGTGGAGTTTAGCCCTATTTTCCTATGTAATTTTAGTAAACTGTACCATGCATTGATCTAGGAAAGTCCATTATGGTCTACAGTGGTGAAAGGATCAACTGTCTTTCAAAGCCAGATTTAGAATCAGCTCTGTACCCATTCAATGCTATTTTAGTATATAGTACATAGTAATCGACGCCAATAGAAATCTTCCATAGCTTCTGTAGGCGCATTTTAATAATTTTGACGTTGCCTTTAGCATGCTTTAACATAACACTCGATCCCGTCGTAAGGGATCCCATTGAAAATAAACCTTTTGTAGGTTATCACAATAAATGCCATGTCATGTCCGTTGACTATACACTTATATTGCTGTGTAAGATTTTTTAACGATATAGTACGAAGCTATGCATACTTTTTGCCTTTTCCCCCCTTTTTATTTATTTCTTCTTCTTTGCTTTTCTTTCAATTTTTTATTATTATTTGATAAATATCGTAATCTTATATTATTTTATATACTACAAAAGATGCATCTAAACCATAATTTAAAAAAAAAAGGACGTCAGAAAATACATTCTCGTGTACACTTCCGTATAGAATACTGATACCTTGTCTCTATAGCCTTTTACTTTAATTGGATGATCATTCGGAAAAAAACAACAGAGTATTAATTATGTTTTTATGCAAACTTATGACTTTGCAATCAGAGAATCGAGCAATCAATTTTTATATTGCAATAGCTCGGTATTTTTCAGGGTAAAAGTTGCGATGCAGCTTTAATTTTCGACTTATTTTTATTTTAAACTCTGATATATAAGGTGACAGCCCCCAAAACGGATCACCAAACAATCATTTTCTTCAGTCATCGAACATTCAGCGGGTGGATTATATTAGTTAATGGTTGTATCAAAAGAAGAATATCAATGAGTGTTCTACACAACAGGGCCCGCGTGAGATATTTATAGAACCAATTAGCGTTTCCGATTCTTTTTTTTATCACGGCTTGAATTTCGCAATATTTTAACATTTTATGTTTATCTTTAAAATCTAGCAATCCCTTGAACAACGCCGTAAAATGACCTCCACCATATATTATCTACATAAACAGCCTTGTGGCATATGCTGGCAACCTCCAAATTCGCCAGCGAACCCGACAACATAAATTCCAGATTCCACACAGCTCCACAATTTATCATGCAAATTCATTCTTTCCTAGAACAATTCGTACATAGAACAGCCTCCCAACCTTTATGATCGCCGACAGTGCATACAGACCTCTCAACACTGAAGGCAAATCTCCTCTCTCACAAATTCTAAGCGTACATGTTGTTTTATCATATAGTTCTAAAAATAAGATTAAAAAAAACAATGTTTTTAACCGATCTCTCTGACGCCTCTAAATAATGTTCAGTATATTGAACGTTTCAGAGTATCCTGTTGAAGTTGAAGGCATGCCGGTGATTAACAATACCGTATAAGCGTCTCTGTGACCCGAATTTTCAAGCGTTTCCACGATCAACCATTTTGCAATGGCAGAAGTTGGAGCGGCAGTAGGCCTAAGCCTAAGTAAAGCAGACTATTTGAAACGATACTTGTCTGACGCTTCTGACGAGAAAAAGAAGAGGAAGAAGAAAAAACCCAAGGCAGCAGCCATCGCCCCTCGGTACACATGTTTGCTGTTAGAGTAGTAATCACAAGGAACAATCTTTCTGGAAATTTTGTAGTGTTGGAGGGTAGGTTGTTTACTTCTCACATTTATATTACTTTGTTAAGTATAATTGTTGTTTATGATTCAGAGACAGGGCTCTGTCACTTTCTGTGTTATTCACCCTTATGTAGGGTAGGGCTTTTCGTTCAGTGTAGGATTCCTGGCGATCAGCTGCTACGATACCGGTGCTGAAATCTGTGTGTTTACACTTTTGAGACGGCCGGAAGTGGGTGATAGTAGTAACAGGAATAGGTTCCCGCTCCTTGCTCACATGATTTTAGATGATGAGGCTGGGTTCGAGATTAACAGTTGATCACTCATCTTCGAGGCTATTTGGTGGGGGGAGCATGGGGTATAAAACAGCGGGTCCGGGCGGGGACCAGTGTCTTGACAGGGTCGGTGAGCCGACCCACTTCTCCTGGTGAGGAGAACATTACCGCCTCATGCGCTGTTAACAGTGCAAAACATGGGCCGAGGTGCTGCTAACAGTACCAATACCGTAGGACTACATGAAGTTATCGTTCCTGGGATATATAGAGTGCTATAGGAACTACAGTACATGTATTAAGGGATAGTCAGGTGCTTCGGGCTAAGACATCGATACATGGTGGTTCGCTGTAGAACAATAGGGAGCTAGGAGCACGTGGTCGTAGTCTACTGGTAGTACTGTTAGGTAGGATAGGTCATTACTCTACGTAGGGATTGGGTTTCTTAATATTAGTTGTCATTGTTTGGCACTAATGCTATGCTTTGTATTTGTTAAACTTGTTGTACATAATCATTCCGTCTTGTTAATAAACAGTTACTTGTATTTTATACCCATTGTTGAGTTATTGAATCAATGGCTGGTATTACCACTACATCCAGCGATCGAACCTGTAGTGAAAACAGGTCTGTAACCTGTCGAAAGAGGCGAGGTCTAGAGAGGACTGCAGGGGAAGTTGTCGACTCGTTACCATTGCTAAAAACTATACGATCACGAAACGGATTTAACGGAGTGACAACGGATGCAAAACCCTCTCCGGACCTCCCCCTATTACAGTAGGATAGCTGAAAATCTACTTTTAGAACAGACAGGATACGTATTCATTATTGTCTAACGAGCAGTTGTTTTACGTTGACTTTAAAGCTGTATGTACCATGTGTTTATACATATTAAAGACAACTTTGTAGACGTCAAAACGTACTGGATCACCAGCAAACATGGCTATAGTATACTCGGTAAGAGTCCGCTAAAACTGACCATAATCGCAGGCTCAAACATTAGCCTGCGATTATGGTCAGTTTTAGCGGACTAGCCAGTAAGACTCTATAGTCGGATGTGATGATACGTATATTAGACGAATTTAAACAAAAAGACTGTTACTGGTCATAATATCTCATGCATATTAATTACTAGGGCCAAATAAAATAATATGTGTGTTTCCTATTCCCTCGAAATTTGAATCCAGGTAAGTAGGCATGCAGGCAAAACATTTTATTTTATCAAAACATTTTTTTTTTTTTCAAATGTTATACAACCGATTCAATGTCAATTGATCATGTACCCAGTGTGTTTATTTTCAGCATTTCAGAGGATGTATTCTTATTTGAAAGTACAAACATGCATAAGTATATAAAGCACCATTACTTTTAATATTATCATTTATTTGCAGCATTTTAAAGAATGTTTCCAAATTCAAAAACAGAAACATGATAATTATACCATTGCCAAACACATACATTATATATATATATATTATTTCACATGGTGCTTTATATAGTTAGAAAGGTTTTACTGTGGCTTTTTCTGAGGATTCCGCAATTAAATCAAGGAAAGAAACATTCTGTTTTGAGCATGAAAAAAGCAGTACTCGCATACCAAAACCCTTTGCGATATCGCCGACGTTTAAATTTCCATCAACATCAAACAATTCAGTGTTTGCGGAACACTTTATGGCAGTTGTATAACCTTTTAGGTCTGTTGGGTGGTATGTCCCATAAACATCCAAAAGTGGGGTCTTGTTAAGAAACGACGCAAGGTGCTTCGTTTCTGCAATATGATCGCATTTCGCTAATTTGATGGCCAAAAAGGAACTTTCTGTTCCGATGGCCACCATGTTGCCGTCAAGGTCGAATCAAGAAGACATTTGACACGCACAATACATGTGTGTCAAGCGCTTTATTGACGGCGAACCAAGTCAAAACTAATAACAAATCGGACATTTAGCCTAGTCCGAATTATTCTGACGTTTTATCGACTTTTTTCATATCGGTCTGTTGTCGATTAACGTCAGAACTCCAGCCCTCTACTATATGCGGGAAATTTGCGACCCGCGCCCGGAGCGCACTTCAAACTGATATTTTAGAAACAAATCGTCACTTTCACACACATGTCGCACATGGATCGAAAGATCTATTCTTTATGCAAAAGATGTACATACATACATGCCTCAAACAACCAATACAATCACTAAAAACATATTTTTTCAAACTTCCTCTGTTTTACTCTAGTTTTTTGATAGCCCCGCCTTCTAATGCCATGTGACTAAAATCTCGTTGGCCTATGTCATAACGTTGGGAAATACCTTCGGTAACGCGAGATCTCGTCAAGTTCGTCTCTCTTCCGTTATAGGGCAGACGTCTAAATATGGGTGTCATGACCCAATATGGAAATTTTAGTAAACATGGTAGCATCAGTAGTAATACTATATTTGGTCATACAGGCCATATATATAGAAAGGATGATTGAGATAACATTGCACGTGATCTGTCATGGCGGTTGTTTCTATTTTACCCCCCAAGACGGACTTGGTTAATTTTGTAAATGAGTTTTTTTCATTGGTAAGGATTCGTTTTTTCAACAATTATGCAATATTTTGATAACATTAGACTCATATGAGTCGTGAAATATATGTAATCTGACAGAATAGCGCATTCGATTTTGCTCTATTAGTTGGCATTGGACTGCTTTGTAGCTCTGACAACGCAATATATAAAAACATCTCTCGTCATCAGAAAGCTACGTTATCGCAGCTAATTAATTACATGGTGGACAAAACGGGTGAGTCTGTGAAATTAATATTCTAGTTACACAATACACAAAAAAACACCCAAACCATCTAATTGCGAAACGACCCAGACCAACATGATTTAGGGGGAAACGACCTGATACCCAGGGGATAGAGGGATGCATAGCAAGTACCAGAATTTGCAATCCAAGAAAGTCCTAGGAAATTGAGTAATTTGATAAAAAATGATTGTTTCACCAACTCGCCCGTTTGTAAATAATTTTTAATTTACACAAAGTAATTGAGTTTACATTCACATTCATCTTATATAATCATAGTTTAAAGTACTATAATGTAAGTAATTTGTCTATACATCCAGGTTTACTAGTGCTTGAGTACCTGATATGATGAACCTGTGGTTAATTCAAATAGTCTAAAAGTATGAACGCATTATTTTTTCAATAAATAAATAAAAAAATCCATCAAGTGATATACTAAACTCTGCTTATTCTCTGTTCAATTGTTTGTTTTGCTCTTAATCATGTTCATCCGGAGTCATTTCATGTTGAAAATATTTTAAGGGCAAAACTCTTTCTAGCCCGTTTCCTTGTATAGTAAAACCCAGCTTCCTGGAACTCGGTTTTCTCAAATAACCCTCATTCGTCGATCAGCTTGTTTGGTCTCGACCGAGTTTGTCCATATTCTTTGTAAAGTGACCCCAGATTAGTCTAACTGTTATTCATCGAATACTCCGTATTCCTTGATCAAAAATTTCCCCCCTGCTCTTCATGGTCAAAGTATTGCGGTCCACACTCATTGTACTTATTCAGGAGTCAGCTGGACGTTGGATAATTAGAGATTTAATGGAAGTATCATGAAGTAATTATATTGTTACCCTGTTGTAGCTGCATTATCATTTTGTGTGCATAATTATTATTTCCAGACAACACTTTGACATCAATCACGATGATTTGGCACAAGTGCTAATCCACTGGGTGTGTAAGACCATATTTCAGCATGGCAGTATTAATTGGAAATCACATAGCAGATTCTCTACCAACTTTAAAGATATTTAAACTTGAATATGTCATGATTGTTAATTTCATTATCAATCAACATTATGATAACAAGGATTCAAGATTTTCTTTATTTGAAATTTGATCAAAACTTCCTCTCGTTTTGATATTTTGTTACTGCTGTATACTGGGAACACCAAACAGATACCTATACTAATGTTGTATACTGAGAACATCAAACAGAAACATATACTAATGCTGTATACTGGTGAACATCAAACAGATACCTATAATAATGCTGTATACTGGGGAACATCAAACAGATACCTATACTAATGTTGTGTACTGGGAACATCAAACAGATACCTATACTAATGCTGTATATTGGGGAACATCAAACAGATACCTATACTAATGTAGTTTACTGGGAACATCAAACAGATACCTATACTAATGCTGTATACTGGGAACATCAAACAGATACTTATACTAATGCTGTATACTGGTGAACATCAACCAGATACCTATAATAATGCTGTATACTGGGGACATCAGACAGATAACTATACTAATGCTGTATCCTGGGGAACATCAAACAGATACCTATACTAATGCTGTATACTGGGAACATCAAAATGACGAGTCAGTAACACATGCAGCTTTTGAATTTTATTTACTTAATACCGGTGGCTAGGTGTTTTCATGGTTTAGCTATTTTAAATCTTATTAAATGCTGTCATCTTGATTAAACTTCTTTTTTCTTCTATCATCTACTATCCACGATATTTGCAGTGCTCATACTGTCTGTTGTCGAAAAATAAAATGACGATGTCGGTTGAACCTCGGATTAGTTGAATACAATGTATTCCTCAAACTCTTGATCTGGACCCTACAAGTTCATGTTGGCGGGGTTTCACTGAATATGGTTTTTGTTTATACTGTCCCATTGGGCCTCTTGTTGTTTATACAGTCCCATTGGGCCTCTTGTTGTTTATACAGTCCCATTGAGCCTCTTGTTGTTATACAGTCCCATTGAGCCTCTTGTTGTTATACAGTCCCATTGAGCCTCTTGTTGTTATACAGTCCCATTTAAAGTCTTCATTAGGCTTCTTTGTTATTACTCATACATTGACTGATCAAACAGATCTCCAATTGCAAACAGCATACTTATTTTTTTTTGATTACACAATTATTTATGTATTATATTTTGAGGAATATTTCATGCTTCTCTTTAGATCTAGGATCGTAGATGATGATGTGGACTTTACGACAACATTGCCAGGAAATCTGGAGAACACGTTGGATGAGGATGTTGGTGATGATGACCCAACAGTTGCTGAAGTTATAGATGAACGCCCTGATCATGTGAAACGACTGGAGGCTTACAGGCAAACAGACAGCAAATGGAGGCTCATGAACAAAACAGATAAAGGTAATTTCTGTCCAAATGAAATGTTTAAACATAATAATATCAACTGAAAACAATTTTAAAAATTTCTAGGCCTTTTCAAAAAGTGATAAGTGTTGATAATCTTTAAATATGCATATAAATATGAGTGCAATAACTTAAATATGTTAACAAAATGAAGTCTAACTTTATATGTACCTTCAGTCTATGATGTTTGTGGCATTGTAAACGCAACAGATACCGACTATCAGAGTTTCTCAGAGGTCACGATTCAAGTGTCTGACTACATATTCTGTATTTTTGTGTACTGACTTAAATAATTAAACTTTATTTATTTAACAACAATTATGAAACAATTTATATTAATCACTCTTGTTGGCCCGGATGTTAGTGCGCGTGGGGGTCTTATTGTGGGAGGAAACCAGAATGCTCCGAGAAAACATATGTGGTTGATATAGTGTAAAACATTAAAACACTACTGAATTAGTTCAGTTATTGAAGTACGAAGATTAGGATTTTGAGGGGTAGGGTGGACATTTCACAGGTTTTAAAATGATATTCAAGGGCCTGTTCATGACTGTTTAGTTTTAATTCAGATTATTATACACAAATAAAGCATTCACAGTTAGAGCCATCACCACTATACAAGCTATATAGAGACGTGACAGTGTAGGAATAACAAAGATGTGTGTAAGTGGAGGTGTGTAAGTGGGTAAGTGGAGGTGTGTAAGTGGAGGTGTGTAAGAGACTCTCATACATCCCGGGGTATTGAGGGAAATTCAACTGAGAGGGGATTCCTTATTGATGAAGAAAAATGTTAAAAGTGAGATTTGTTTTTATTTGTTAATTGCTTTGCTATTGGTACTTACTGTTACTTTATCAGAAAATAAATACAACATTTGACATAGCACCCTATCTAGCTTGTTTAATACAGCCAAATTATGTAAAAAAAAACACAAAACCATATTTTAAATGTCATTTAATTTGTGCTGATGAATTCATAAGCAATCACATTTTCCAATGTGTCATCGCGGAAGAAAAATGTCTAGACGCGGTTCACAGGCTCAGCTGAAAGTCTACGGATGTGAAGCTGCAGTTATTGAATGTCGAATTACACATGAAACTAGACGTGGCTTGAAGGGACGAAACATTTGGCTGTTCGACATTAATTCATATAAGATGGGACCACATGGATCTCCTACAGGAGTTCGTTACAAATGTCTGAAATACACATATGCTATACTGATATGGGTCACAGTACAAATACACATACATTTTTACACATGTTGTATACTGATAAGAGTTACAGGACAAATGAACAGACATCTATATGTTTGTTTATGTGTGCTGTGACCCATATCAGTTATAGCATGATATGTGCATTTCAGACATTTGTAACGAACCCTGTGGATTTACGTGGACGGTTTGTATGTACCCCAGGTTGCCTACTTACACAAGGCAGAATGGGTAGCTGGAAGGAGAATTTTAAGGGCAGTACATGACATTTCACTAACGCTAGCAAGCGTTAGCTGATCATATTTTGTTGATTGATCGTTTTTGGTAGTTTGAACAATTTCTTGTGTTGCTTCAATACAAATGTGAAATCTCAAGTGGTATCTTTGTTTAAACATGTCAACATTTATCTCCCTTCGCAAAATCATACGCACATGCATTGTTAATCTGGTCAAATTCATCGGCAAATAAAACAGGTTACATTTGGTAGTTGCATTGAGTCCAGCTAGAGTAGGAATTGAAATATAACATTTTAACAGCCTGTCTCATGCTAAGAAGGTGTCCTCGGATGATTAGGATACTAATGAGTCAATCTTAATGGTCACGTCACTGACATGTCATAACTTTAACACCGATGTATAACACTTAACCCGACTACAATTAACTTATAACGTCCTTAATTATTTTTTTCCGCGAAAATGAACCATAAAGAAAATAGCAGCTCTCTTACAAATATTTTAGCAAAAATCACTCTATTAGAATTTTTATTTCAATAAATAATGATTTAAACAAGAACAAAACGAAAAATATGAAACAAACACCAAATATAATCATAATCTGTTTCGGTAAAATCTTCAGTGTTGCAGGCAGTGGTCAAAGGAAACTATAGAGTAACAGCAAAAAACATATAAGAATACCAAAGTATTGACAAAAGTGAATTTCTAGCTCAAAATCGGGAATACTAGTGCATGAACAGTGTACTGGTACAATGGAAAGACAATAATTATCAATGGTCGAAAGGGCCGTTTGTTGCAGCAAAATATGTACGTTGTTTGGCTTTCTCATCGACAAACTGAGTTGAAAAAAATACTGCCTGTCCTTGTGCTAATCAAGAGCTAAACGACCTCAGAATGTTTTTAATCCTCAAATTTGAGTAAGTATTTCATGTATCTCGGTTAGCACCGGGGACTAGCTTTACACATAGAGTAATCATTAAAAATACAACGCATTGATATATCGATCGATCAAGGTGATTGAGATTTTTTTTTCTGTGTCAATCTGTTTCTATAGAAAGTGTTAAATGTTAATAGAGTTCGTTACATCCTATGGCTACTGCAATGTGACAAAATGTTTAAAAATAAAATGAATTAATACCTTGTCGTTATCCCATACACTTAAACTGTAATAAGAGCGTAGCTCTCGGGCGCCGAAGGCGTCCGAGCGAAGCTCTAGAATGGTAACACATGTGTGTGTAAACAGAGTTGCTTCCCCTTTCTACACATTGCCTTTAAAAAATTTCATCCGGAAGTAGACGTCCAGTGGGGAAACAGGAAGTGTATCCTTGAAGCAAAGACAATTGTTTTTTAACCCATGCATGAACATCTTCATATAGTGAAAACAATACCCATGTTTTATTAGTTATTTATTAAAGGTAAAATCTAAGATACATTCTGAGTGAAAAAAATCTATTACATAAATTTAGATACTAGCAGGCATGAAACTACGTGCAGAGATTATCATACTATGACGTCACAAGCACGTCACACTCCATCGGCCTTCATCGGTTATTTCCGGAAGGATGAAAAATAACCGGGAAATCTTGTAACTGATAGCCGTTGCATTTATCTCTTTGTCGATGCTTCATGACTTTTTAATTTCAGTTTTTGCCACAGCAAAAGTAAAAAGTAAAAACGCGGATGTTTTCTGAAGATCCTTTTTGTCATCAACCCTGTTCTGTTAAAATTTCTACCGGGAGATATTTTTAAAAAGAGCCGCATTAAACCAAAAGGTCAACGTATACAAATTTTTTTTTATCGTCTTAAATTTCATTAGCTTTTGATTTTAATTTGGTGAGATTATGAACGAAATAATTGAAAGGTTTTTTAAGTCTGGATATAGTCTTTACATTATTTATGTATCACCACTCATAAAAGAATCAATGGAAAATGCATTTATGACGAAATTAATAATAATTTTCCAGACAACAAACACAAGCGCAACGCCCCTTTTCAGCAACGTATTACTTTTTTTTACAATGCATGCCGATTTATAACTAGTTATACACACATAAACTCTTTAATTTTATTTGGCATCATTACCTGGCAAACCTCAGTGACAGTTACAAAACTTGAAATTCAATCCGGTGTTTCAGGATAGAACAGGAATTTTAAATATCGATATAACGACAATCTCAGTTACATCATAGTATTACAATATTTTCTTTTTTAATTTCATTTTTTTAACCAACATCTCTATACATTTAATTTTATAGACTTATCGTCAAATATATAATAGCAATTACAAAACAGTTTTTCCCGTACTTATTTCAATCATTCTTCTTGGGACCTGACGGAAGCCCGCAGAGGATTTAATTCTTAATGTGGGAGGAAGCCGGAGTATCCGGAGAAAATCCGCATGGTCGGGCAGGTAACCGGGATTGAATCCGGCCATCTTGGTGAAGACGAGCGCGCTATCCACTGCACCACCCGACTTATCATATACGTTGCGGACAAGAACAAATATCTACTTTAGCTTTGAAAATGACGTCATTGATGCACAAATTATATTGCGAATACATTTTTACTAATCATCAACTATACAAAAAAAAATACATACGGGAGACCGGGACAAGTTCGGCCACCCCTGATATTTTTGTTTTTTAGCTAATATTTACAACTTTAAAGATCTTAGCAGTTTAGTTGGCTAGTTGGCTGGGCATTCACACGAAAAAATGAGGAGGAAAACTCTAAAATTTCTTTTGAGAGGGTAGAAAGAAAATCATGATATTGCTACTAGTTATGCGAACCTTCTGTAAACGGAATTGCTATTTTTTACGGTCAAATGTGTTACACATATACATAAAAGCCAAGCCAAGCACCCACTACCATATTGCTGTACGATAAGAATTTATTGAAATATCAATTTGGGCACAGAGAGTTTCGGCCAATGATACCGTGGCAAGTTCGGCCCATGTTACACATAAAAAGTCGTAAAATTGGCGGTAATAACTGACGTTGCATGCTTTATAACGTCATAATTAAACTGATTTCAATGGGGCCAAATTTACTCGAATGCCTGTCCGAACTTATCCCATGGCGGGGTTCTTTCGGCCATCCAAACATCCGATAGGGAACATTAAATAATGTTCAAAAACGGACGTGCTGGCATACTTCACAAAATGGACTTTAAAAAAGGGCCGAATTTGCCCCGATCTCCCCTATTGTTATGTCCTACTTAATCTCATTAGAATTTTTGTTTTATTGTTATCCCTCGACTAGCTGACTTTAGATAAATTTTACCTTACCTCATTCTGAAAGCAGTATTATCTCATTCTGAATCAGTAAATATCAGAGATCAACAAAAGCTTCGCTCTTTTAAGGCTTTCCTTTTCATATTATTCCTTTAGTGTCGGAATTTTCTTCAACATTCTTCGCTATATCTATTTATTTCTATTAGTAGTCATTAACTATGACAAAATGATACACATTACTTTACCCTTACCTATATTCACTTTCTCAATAAAAATGTGTACCTTGACAAACTTGGCTTTGTGTGTGCTACATATATCCATTAACTACTTCTATGTTAACGGGTATATGTAACTACATGTACGCAATTAGTTTGAGATATGGAGAAGATAAGTATT